GGAATCCGTCGTGGATCCGCCTGTCTTTATAAAATGAGGGAGCACTGGGAGTCTTCCAGGAACATCACTAGCATGGAATACCCATACCCAGAGCCCGGACAGCCTTGATATTCTTGGAATATGGGAAAAATCGTGAGTTTTTGATCGCCAGCTTCCGGTGTCATGACGATGTCTATGAAGAAGAGCCTACATTTAAACTGATAAAATGTGTTTATTGGTAGCATTTTTGCATTTTTTTGTTCTTTTCGAGTTTTATTTTTTGTTTTAAAAAAAAAAAAAAAATTTTGGTGAATATTTCCATCCAGCAATATCTTATCTCTTTTTTTTCAGCAACATTCGAAATGGTTAGTGAAATGCGTGGATTCGATGGATCCATTATCTCCGCTAGACCTCATTACACTCTCCAGACTTTCATCACAAGTGAACAAACATGTGTTGCTTGCAATTGTTTCGCCCGACTCCCTTTCCCCCTACTACATTGAATATTCGTGGTGGAGACCCCAGCAATCGCAGCAGCAATAAGTTCTCATAAAACCGATAAACGATTGTAGCATCCAAGTTTACCCTGTAAGGCCTAAATGGCGAAGGCGCGATAGATTACAGCGCAAAAGAACAGTATATGAGAAAAGATGGCAAGAGCGAGATAATACGTTTCGGTCCATTAAGTCATATACGCCTTAACACCGCGCGACTGGGCCTTGTCAGTATGACGGTCGCAGTGCTTAATGGAAAAGGAAAAGAAGGAAAGGGAAAAGCTGTGATTGTGAAATTAGCGGGAGCAACTGATTTATCAGTAGAGAGATAACATTATTTTAAATAACTGTGGCTGAAAAAAGGCATATTTAAGTAGAGCGCGCTTCATGTTCAAAACATACGATTTATAATCTGAACTGAAAGTGCTCTCAAATATTCTAGGTATAGCGCTTTATCTCTTGTGAATCATTGCCCTTTCTACGACTTGTTGGCTTTTTAAAACACGGGTATGTAGGTTTTCAAAAGGCATGGATGTGTAGGATTTTTTTTGGATTATTTTAGATTTGTAGATTTTTGTCTGATTTATGAAATTTTTGTGCAATTTTCGTTGAAAATGCGACTGAAGTTTTTCAGATGTGTAAGTTTTTTTTGTAGATTATGGAACTTTTTTTAACCACAAATCTGCTTATTTTAGTGAAAATTTTGTTTCGCTGTTGTTTTATGTAAGTTGTTTTGTTAATAAAAATTTTGAAATAACCCGGTATGTGCTTTTCGTGGATGCATACTGCTGTAGAAAAATACACTGGACCTATATTTTCAGTGAAAATAATTTCATAATTTCTTCTGTGAATTGAATTTTTTCAGCAAAAATAATTTTGTAATTTCAATTTTCCCAGATTTCGTCGTTTTTTTTTTTGAACTTTTAGTTTCAATGAAAATAATTTTTTAATTGAAATTGCAGGTCGATTTTG